ACATGACCTTGCCTGTCTCTTGTTTTCTGGAAGTGTCATATCAATGCACCCCGGAGTTGACGACGATTTTAGGGCCTCAGGCATGTCAGGGGCTTCGTTAATCTGCGCCATTGAAAATTGTAGATTGACGACCGACAATTTCCAGTACCTCTGACCATAGGCCCTATCGTCTTATACGCCTTGGAATCTTATAGGCCCTGGCGTGCGATATGCGAATCGATACGACCCCTCCTTGATCCCGACGTGAGGTCTGCAGCTGGAAAGTATAAAAGGCGTTGCAGCCCTCGTGTTATCGCTATTGTTGTTTGGCAGCTCCACAGGTCAAGTCGCGCTATCGCTTCCGCGCGCGTTTTGATATCTTGTCTTCACTCGCCACCTCCTTCCCCCATAGCCGGTTCCGCCTGGCTCAATTCGCTCCTACCGCCCTCTTCTTCCGCCAACGCCGTAGTTGCCGCATGGTGTTCGGTTCGCTCTTCGTAGCTCGATTTCCATTCGCCATACCCGGTTCGCTCTTCGTAGTTGGATTTCCATTCGCCATAGCCAGTTCGCTCTTCGTAGCTCGATTTCCCTCCACCATAGCTGGTTCAGTCGTCGTACATCCATATCCGTGCGACGTTGGTCGTTCGCGCAACGCACGACGAAGGTGACATGTTATTTAAGTTGTCCTAATCTGTGTACGATGTCCGAACAGATCCCCAGATGCCCTGTCTCTACCTGCACGCTATAAGGCCGCAATTGCCGCATGTTGAACCTCGAATCAATTCCCGGTTTTGTTGTTTCTCAACTCCAGAGGTCCGGTCTCGCTATCGCCACCGCACATGTTCTGATATCTTTTCTTCACCCTCCACCTCCGTCTACCATAACCGATCCGCGCTTCGTAGCTTGATTACCTTTCACAATAGCTGAACCAATATTATGCACATTATAAAGCTGCCATGATATTGTTTGTATAAAAGTGCTGGATTTCCTTTGCAGCTTATAGTCGTCAGTGTCCATGATGAACCCCGAATCAATTCTCGGTTCTCGTTCACATGTCCCTTGTGAGGTCGCCAACCTGACACATATGTGTATCGCCACACACACACACACACACACACACACACACACACACACACACACATATATATATATATATATATATATATATATATATATATATGTACTCGTCCGTGCCGCTTCTAGAAGACCGAATTAACTCGCAGTTTTTCTTCATCCATCCTAGCGAGGTCGGAACTGATCCACAACTGCGAGTTAGTTCGCAGTTTGCCACCCATACTGCTTGAGGAGTCACAACTGCGAGTTAATTCGCAGTTTCCCCAAGATAAGACGCCTCTTTCTTGAAAGTCAGTTCTTTATTTCCACAACTGCGAGTTAGTTCGCACTTTATGACCTGCAGTGTTGGAGGAGATGTTGCCCTCCGTATCCTGAACTCGGAGTTAGTTCGCACTTGTAGACACCCATGTCGTACGTGTTTCAGGTTTTCATTTCGACAACTCCGAGTTAGTTCGCACTTTCCCCAAGACAAGCCGCCTCTATCTTAAACGTGACTTTCTCGTTTCCGGAACTCCGAGTTGGAGGAGTTGTTATCTTTCCTCCGAACTCACACTGGCAAAGGTGTGTTGTCTTTCCTCTCCTTTACCCAATTGTTGTGACTTCGTGTGCATATCAAACACCCATCTCGTACGTCGTTTTGTCTTGTCTCCAGAACTGCGAGTTGGTTCCCACATGTCGATACCCATGCGGTACTTGTTGTAGAGGTCTTCATTCCTAAAACTCCGAGTTAGTTCGCACGTTCCCGAAGCAAAACCGACTCTTCCTCGTTTAGAGGACAGCGAATTGGTTCACACTCTTTCCGAGGAGTTGTTATCTTTCCTCCGAACTCACTCTGCCAAAGGAGTGTTGTCTTTCCTCTCATTTACCCAATTGTTGTGACTTCGTGTGCATTTCAAACACCCATCTCTTACGTCGTTTCGGTCCTCCATTTCGTCAACTCCGAGTTAGTTCGCACTTTGCTTTTGTACTCTTAGGAAAACCTCGTGGCTTTCCTCCTGGTCATCCGTTTTGGTCTACGGTTGGGTGTAAAATGGCGTCCGCGAAGAACACATCTACAAGCGCTGGGGCGTCTGCCCCCTGGGAGGGACGACCTCTTCAGCAATCTACTCCTCAGTATATTTCCAAACGAGGGATGCACAATGGTTTTTGGACTTCATTGTTGAGGGAACCGTGTTGGGCCAGTTGTTTTCATGCCACCCACTTGCTTTCCAGACGCTGAGGGAGCAGCCGACGTTCTTCCTCTCGGTACCATCATCTCGTTCGGGAAACAGACTGGAGGCTTGCTCAAGATGCACACTAACGTCTTATACGACCACTGTAGACTGCCTTACAAAGGTGCTAAGGGCTACATTGCACGGCCGGTCACGGGCGGGGGCAATAACTCGGCCGCGGCCGTGCCCGGCGGCCGAATCGGCCAGGTTCGGCCAAGACCGAACGACCGAGTTTGGTGCAGGATTTGTTTTTTCGTATTTTTTAGGGCAATATATATATGTATATATATATATGGGCGTGCAGGGCTGAAAAAACCCTGCACGCCCATATTTTTTTGTTTTTTTCTGATTTTGCTGGTCGCCAAAAAAAAATGCAAAAAAAAAAAAAAAAAAAAAAAAAAAAAAACATGGGTCATTTCAGGTGTTTTTCGACCGTTTTAGCGGTCCACGACCGTATGGGCCACAGTGCCGCCGTGGGGCAACTCGATGGAGGGGACAAGGGCCCAGGCCCGGGCAACATCAAGGCTGTTCCCGTTTCGGATTAATGCAAACATTACTTTGAAACGGCAACAGTACGTGCTATTGTCGTTGTGCTGCTCACGGCCGAGCCTGCCGTTGTGCTGCTCATGGCGGAGCCTGCCGATGTGTGCTGGCGCAGAGAGAGAGAGAGAGAGAGAGAGAGAGAGAG